AAATTTCCAGTCATTTCTGGAGACTTAGGTAAAGGTTCTTCCTTCCTGATGACCTGCATAAGTTCACATAGCAAAGTAGTAGCAGTGCCAAGACTACAGCATCCTGGTTTCTCCTAATCCAGGCTTCTCTGCTCTGCAGTACGCATGCCTTTACATCCACTCCCCTGCCCCCTCCCCCATCCCATCTCTACTTTCTGATCTCCAATTTTTTTTATTTAAAAAATTTACCTATTTATTTTTAGTTTTCACCATTCACTTTAATAAGATTTTGAGTTCTAAATTTTCCCCCCTCCCTCCTCTACCCCTTCCCTAAGACAGCCTGCAATCTGATATAGTCTATACATGTACAATTATATTACACAGGTTTTCACATTAGTCACGTTGTGAAAGAAGAATCAGAACAAAAGGGAAAAACCACGAGAAAGAAAAAAAAAGAGAGAAAATAGTATGTTTTGATATGCATTCAGATTCCATAATTCTTTCTCTAGATGTGGACAGCATTTTCCATTGTTTTTTGGAATTTTTTTGGAGTTTTTTGGAATTGTCTTACTGATCTCCATTTCTTTCCAATCCATAGCCAAACCCATATTCTTCTACACCCATTATCAGTCTGCAGATGGACTTTTCTTGGCTACTCTATCCTTAGAAAGGACAAGTTCTAGCCAGGGGTAGAGAACCAATCCTTTTATTAAAGGGATTTGTTCTGTGAAGTTCGGATTCAGTCAAAGGGCCGCACTTGAGGACCTAGAGGGCCGCCTGTGGCCTCGAGGCCGCAGATTCCCCACTCCTGTCTAGATAAAACTACAAAGTAGGCAAAGTTGGTCTTGACTTCTTCATGCCTCCCCCCACTCCTTTCAGTATACTCTTTTGTCACCCCACTTTTGATGTCTACTTTGAGTATCCCAATATCTGGAGAATACTCTACATGGCCCCTGTGCTATCCTGAGGATAGCCAAGGCTGCAACCACACTCCTGAATACCCCAAGCTTTTCCATGACCAGTTCTCTTCACTGAAACTTATTTGCCAATGGAAAGATGGATCTTTGACATAAACAGGCTGTAGCATATTATGAGTTGCACACAGGAAGTAGCATTAAAGAACATTGATATATATATATATAGATATAGATATATAGATATAGATATATATAGATATAGATATAGGTATAGATATATATAGATATAGATATATATGAAGAAAAGGGAGGGGCATGTAGCAAGAGTAGAGGATAACAGGTAGATGGCCCTCACATCCACAAAATATTGAAAGAATAAGGGTTGTCTAGCTCCTCTATGATAGATTTAAGGAAAGACAAGCACCATCAGAATTGCATGGGGTGAGGGAAGTATGGAAGGGTGACTGCAATCTCCACTATTGGTAAGGGAGCTCATATTGAAGAGACAAGGAATGCTGATGTGGTAAAATTACAGTGTATGGTGTATTGAAAGAGGAAAACTGGACATCTTCTATGTATAGGAGAGCATGCCAAAAATACTTTCTTTGGCATGGGGTGGGAAGAATTTAATATCCCATTGCCTTCCTCCTGAATGTTCTTCTCTAGGTTTATGCTGTACTTCCTATCAGGAATTCAGGAAGCCTGGGTTCTAGTCTTGGTTTACTACTGGTTGGCTAAAGGGCCTTATGGCTTTGATCAAGTCATTTTACATTTTTGGGCCTCAGTTTCCCCAGTCATAAAATTAAAGGATTGATTTAGATGACCTCTACAAGGTTCCCTCTAATTCCAACCATTATATTCTACTTCCATTTTACTTTACTACTATTCTATCTGCCCTGTCCTACTCTATTCCATTTCTTAACTGTTAGGGGATATAGCTGCTGGCTAAAGAGCCTTGTTTGCTTTAGTATGGTGGGCATATTGAGAATAGGAATGCAGTTATCTATCGATACCTGCCTTCTTTCTAGGTGGAATATCACAGCTATGTCTCCTTGCAGGGGGGTGGTCCACGGCCAGGACAGTGCTAGGGTATGGAAGAGAAGACAGTTTCTGACCCTCCTCAGCTTTATGACAACTTGCTTTCCCCAGTATGGAGTGAAAAGAGGGGATTATCGTATATTAACAATCAAATCTACGCAGAAACACATACACAAACACATCCTATTTGACAGCTCATTCATCCACAGCAAATCTTTAAACTTTATTTGAGCAGGTGAGAAAGATGATCATGGGTCCACTGTTCTTCATCACCCTGAGCACAGAACAAAAAGAGCAGCTTAAATTTCAGCTAGAAGGATTAGGATGTGAGACCTTTGTGAGGCAAGGTAATCCTGAGTATATGAAGAAAGTGTTTCCAAACGTCCCAACAGCAAATCAGGGTTCAAGCTGATGAACCAAGATAAGGTCCAAGATGTAAGCGATCCTCTCAGTGCCCAGATAGACATATAGATTTGCACTTTCAGTAAGTCACCTGACTTAAAACTTTGATTATGAAATAATAGTTTCATAAGAGACTCTGATTATTAAGGACTTAGAGAAAAATGTGATAACTTATAGAGACTGATGCAGAGTACAGTGAGTTGAATAGAATAATCTCTACAAAGACCAGGGTAATGATTTTTTTATTTTAATTTTTTTTTCAATTAACAGGCATTTATTTTCTCTCTTTCTCATCCCTCCTTAATTTAAAAGAAAAAAAAAAGAAATGCAACAAATATATATCATCAAGCAAAACAATTCCCATGTTGCCTGTATCTAGAAATGTCTATCTCCTTCTGCATTCTGAATCCATTACCTCTCTGTCAGGAGGTAGGCAGCATAGATTCTCATCAGTCTTTTGGAATCATGGTTGGAATGACTGTAATCATGTAAGGGAAACAACACTGGAAGGCATCAGAACTGTGCATAGTGCAGTGATCAATTGGCTTCCAAGGACTGGTGATGAAACAAGAGGCCCCCCTCTTTCCAGTGGAGAGGTGGTAAATTAGAACTTTGTCAGACTTGGCTTATTTTGTTTAGGTGTACTTTGTTACTAGGGAGGCTTCTATTAAGCAAGGGAAGGGGAAGTCATAAGGAAGTCATACTGATATAAGAGAGAAACAAGTATCAGTAAAAACATTTATTTAAAAAGACAAAAAATTATAATTTGAAAAGAAAGGAAAAGTAGTTTCAGAGTCACCTTCTAACACTCTATTTATCATGGCTCCCAGGCCTTTTGGCAGACAACTCCAAGATATTTGGGTCAGAAATCTGTCCAAAATACAACAGAATTGTTGGAACACTTCAGGGAAGAAATACAAAAGAGAAATGAAGAGCTTGAAATGGAGGTAATAGTTCCTGTCCTCAAATAACATGCTATCTAGGTGGGAAGATAGCACCCCCACTCACACACCCACCTCCCCTCTACTCCTGCCCCCAGCCAATGAGAGAGAACTTAAAATTATTTTCATTGAAAAAAATTTTTTTTGATACTTGTTGACTTTATATAACACTCTTCTTGTGCACTTCTTCAAGTCTTATTAGGAATGATGTAGAGAGGACTGGAGATTCTTAATGAGGCATTGTTTTGACTGGACAGCTACCAAAGACCCTTCCAGTTCTGAGGTTTTGTGATTCTGTGACTTTCTCCTTCCTAATTTTCTACAAAGTGCAAAAAATTCCCAATTCTTGACCACTTATATACTCTATGACTTTTCAAAATGTGAAGTTGACATTATGTAAGCATGAGATGAAAGGACTGTGTTTGTTAAATTGAATTTAAATTGAACTAAGTCTGTAGAGTGAAGGCAGGAGGCATGGGCTTTTTGGACTGATCTAGGCCTTCATGACTTTAGGTAAGTCACACTCTCTTTGGGCTGGAGGATAGATTTAGAACTGGAAAGGACCACAAAGGTCATCTTATCCAACTCCCTTATTGTAGAGATGGAGAATGAGGCCCAGAAAGGTAAAGAAACATTTCCAAGGTCAAACAGAGAGTAAATATCAGAGCAAAGCTTCAAACCCAGTTCATTTTTCCATTGTGTTGCCATACCTGGATTGGAGCCACTGAACTGGATTCCTTCCAATGACAAAATTTTATTCCTCATGACAGGATGCTGACTAGATATATGTCATTACCTATGTATCTTCTAAGATCTGATAAGAAACAGAACTTTTTTGTTTCCCTTGGGTGTTCTCATGGCTGAGATAGGCTGTTACCTGTCTTTGACGACCCAAGCACAATTGTGCCAGTTCAGGAGCCAACGATCCTTTTCAGTCGATGCTGTATCCATGAATCATTCAACATGCATGAGTGAAACAAAGTAAGAAGTGTGAGTACAAAGTGTGACTTTGAAACAAGACTACCTCCTCATGATGCACATACAGATCTTCATCTTATTAGAGTCTTAGCTCCAACACAGTAAAGTTGTGTGAAATGAAAAGCATCATATTATTTTATTCTTGGGATTTTTTTTAACCCCTGTGCTAATTGAGAGGTGTTGTGGTATAGTAGAGAGAACACTGAACTTGGAGTGAGGAAAGACCTGGGTTAATAGTGCCATGGAAAGCATGCTGGATTTGGAGTTGGAACCTGGGTATTGGTAGACCAAATGACCTGTAAGGCTCCTTCTGGTACTAAATCTGTGATCTCAGTATCTCCTCTAACACTCATGGGCAAGTCACTGGGCCTCAGATTCTTTATCTGCAAAATAGGGATAATAATACCTATACTTTACCTATACCTGCCTTACAATGTTGTGATGAAGCTCAAACAAGTTAATGTATGTAAGCCTTAATACATTTCTCACGAAACCGAAATCTTTTTCCAAGTCAAATGGCTGGCAACAGGATTTCAATGAGTGAAGTCAATAAGGGAGGAGGGACACTCAGCCAAAGCCCACTGGCAGATCCTGGATGGCAGTTGGCAGGCTCTATGGCAGAAAGCAGGAGCAGCTAGACTGCCAAAAATCAAGGTTTAACAAATAAACGTCATCTTGCCTTAGGACACCTAGTAATGATAACTCTGTCATTGCCAATAGCAGCGCCAAAACAGGTGCAGAACTTCTGACCAGTTCTTTCCTAGACAGGATTGTATTCAGAAAGTAGCAGTGGCCCAGAAAGCTGCATTTCTTGAAACTCTGGATTGAATCTGGAGAATTCCGAGGTAAACAGCATGCTGTTGGAAGAGTAACATCCTGGCGAGTACACCAAGCAGTTTGATAGGCAGACTTTAGGAACAGGCATGGAAAATCTCAGAAAAAGTTCCAGCTGGACGGGACATAGAGATTACCTTGTCTAACCACCTCATTTCACAGGTGAGCTATCTTTAAACAGAAATTGTCTTTGGCCGTTCGAGTCTCTTATCAATAATTGTGTGCTCCTGAACAGATAAGCAAAGCTAGCCATTTTTACTGGGGACTCGGAGCACTCCATAATAAATTTGGGGACTGCTTATATGTGTGCTCAATCTAGGGAGCATGAAACAGATTTGCTCTTAATTCCTTCATCTTTATTTTATCCCCTTAAATAGAACTGAATGTCAATGTGGATTTGAACAGTTTCCCTGTAACAAAGCATTTTAAGAGACTGGCATCTTTCCACCAAGATACCATTGAGTTTAGTTGTTTTAGAACTTTTTGGAGACACTACAGAAACATTGCAGATATCTGCTTGCCATCTGTCCTGCCTACATTCCACCCTCCAGATCGCTGGACCTTGCTTCTCATATACCTTGCCTCCTGTATGCTGGACTAGAGAACATGCCCTAGAACATTTAAATCTCTTGGTTCTGGAGCTGTGTCCCTAAGACCCACACTGTCCTGACTGGTGAATGCTCTACGTTGTTCATTATGCTCAGCCAGCCTCAATCATCCTTCAAATTCTGCTCTGGCCACATTCTTGTCATCTGCTCTGCTCCTATCACAACCTGTTCTTCCCTGCTACCTCTTCTGCTCCTCATTCTTACTACTCTCTAGCTAGTTTTCCAGATCCAAAGCAACACTGCCATTGCTACTGGAAAGAGGTTAATAAACTCCTCTATCATTCTACTCACCATCCCTGTGACTTCTCTCTCTTTTTTTTTTTTAGGCAATTGGGGTTAAGTGACTCGCCCAGGGTCACACAGCTAGTAAGTGTCAAGTGTTTGGTCTGAGACTGGATTTGAACTCAGGTCCTTCTGACTTCAGGGCCAGTGTTCTGTCCACTGCGCCACCTAGCTGCCCCCACCCCTGTGACTTCTCAAAGCAAAATATCATTCACCTATATGTGTTGTCTACCCCTTTTGGAAGTCAAGTACCTTGAGTACAGGAACTGGTTTTCTTTTCTATTTCTATCCCTAGCATTTAGCATTGTGCTTGGCACATAGTAACTTCTAAAATACACTTTCAAATCATTTGTTCATTCATCAGATGTAGGGAAAAGCGAAAAAAGAGCTGTCCAAAGGCAGTGCAGACACAGAAACAGGAACCCACAGTTTATCTTGGTAAAGAGGACATTTAATCATTGCCATTTCTATGGATTCAGTATATTCTGGCTGACATTTTGAGGTCTTTTAGAAATCTGGGCCTGTTCCAAGCATATGTAATGCTAGAATGGAGAAATGAGGGATGACTATCTTCTTCTTCTTCTTCTTCTTCTTCTTTTTTTCCTCCCTGAGACCCTGACAATGATTCTTTGTAAGATGTCTCAATACATTTGAGGAAGTTATACACAAATATTTTGCAGGAAACGGTCAAAGCCTGATTTATATAATGTGGATATTCTGTTTCATGAAAATCATGTATCATACACTTAAAACTTGCGGAAAGACTAGTACAATTTTCTAGTTGCAGGATGTATTAATGGTGAAGATTTTTTTTTTGACTAGGCAATGGGGTTAAGTGACTTGCCCAGGGTCACACGATGGTGAAGATTTTAAGACTTGGCTTCTAAGGCTAGTGCCCTCCAGTCACGGGACAAGGGAAGATGAGAGAGAGAGACAGAGAGACAGAGACAGAAACAGAAAGAGACAGAGACAGAGAGACAGAGAGAGAGCGCAATTGTTGTGATTGGCAGGCCTACACCAGAAAAAGAAATGCACACAAATCCAATGATTAGCTGGAAATCATGTGCCCATTGTGATGCCAGGCACCAAGACATAAGACCAGACCAAGGAATAGGATGTTTGTAGTTTCATTTAGTATCTCATAAATACATATGATCATGACATTTCATCATAGTGCATCTTCTTAAAATTATTGAGTATGCATCAAAGCTGGCAATCAAAGAATGTCATGGCATAACAATATTTGATTGTCCATAGTAGTGAGACAGCACAGATCATTGAAATCCAAAGGTTTGCCTTATTCTAATCTTAATCAATAGTTTAACTCTTACCCCAACCAAATATTTTATCACAGATAATATAATGGTTAAATGGGACGCTATCCTTTATTTTCTTGTGCACTTTCTGGTAAGTGTGATTATGAGTAAAGACACAGTCTAAAGAGGAAGAAAAGGAGTCAGAAGTCCAGATAAACCCCAAGCTATATAAAGTAGTTCTGGAGAACATCTGAGTATACCACAAAGATCTTGTGATAATGTTGTTGCAGCATAGAAGGCTTCCTTAATTAATTCTCAGAATCAACTGCTTGAGGCACATTTAGTTTTAAAAATTTTTTTTATTAAATAACTTATTTGTTAATTTTTAGTTTTCAGCATTCACTTCCATAAGATTTTGAGTTTCTAATTTTCTCCCTCTTCTTCTCCTCCCCCCTCCCTAAGATGTCATGCAATCTAATATAGCCTCTACTTATAAGTTCATATTAAGCATATTTTCGCATTAGTCATGATGTAAAGAAGAAATAGAACCAATGGGAGGAACCATGAGAAAGAAGAATCAAAACAAAACAGCAAAAGAAAAGGAGAGCAAATAGTATGCTTCCTTGCATTCAGGCTCCATAGTTCTTTCTAAATTTAGGCTTTTCTTTCAGAAATTATAGCTATTAACTATTTTATCTATTTGCTACAGGATTTTCACTTGAGAATTCAACTAGTACCAACCCTTCATTTTCTCAGAAATGAGGTTATTGATTAGGTTCATCCATTCCCTTATTTATTGAAGATTATATTTCTTCATGGACTAGTTTCAGGCTTCCCCAAGCAACATTATTTTCTTTTAAAATTTTTTGTTCTGAATTTAGACATCAAAAAAAAAAATTCTGTATACTCAGCAGAACTCTGTAATAGTTAGCATTTCTATAGCACTTTAAGGTTTGCAAAGCATTTTACAAATATTATCTCATTTTATCCTTAAAATAACCCTGGGAGGTAGGTGCTATTTTTGTCCTCATTTTACAGATGAAGAAACTTAGGCAGACAGAGGTTAAGTAACTTGCCCAAGGCCACACAACTAGGAAATATCTGAGGCTGGATTTGAACTCGGGTCTTTCTGACTTCAGGTCCGGTGCTCTATCCACTTAGACAACTATGAAAGTGCAAATCTCCGTTTCATAACATTTGCTTTAAGACATATCCATATCCATATCCATATCCATGTCTATGTCCATGTCCATATCCATATAAATACATGTGTATGTACGTGTGTGTGTGTGTGTATAAGGCAGTTAGGTGGCACAGTAGATAGAGCACTGGCCCTAGAGTTAGGAGGACCTGAGTTTAAATCCAGTCACAGACACTTGACACTTACTAACTGTGTGACCCTGGGCAAGTCACTTAACCCTAAAAAAAAAAAGCTATGGATATCTAGATATCTACATAGGTGTAGATAATCTAGATACAATAAATTCCACATTTTACTTTCAAAACTGTTCTGCCTTGGGTGGCACAGTGGATAGAGCACTGGCCCTGGAGTCAGGAGGACCTGAGTTTAAATCCAGCCACAGACACTTGACACTTACTAGCTGTGTGTCCCTGGGCAAGTCACTTAACCCCATTGCCTAGCAAAACAAACAAACTAACAAACTAACAAACCTGTCCTGCTGGTCTGTGTTTCATTTTGAACTTCCTTCTCTTCTCGTCTGTGCAAATGGATCTATGCTCTGAATCTATGATCCTGCGGCTACTACACATTTCATCCTCCTCTGTAATCCTCTCCAGGCTCAATGCCTTGGTAGAGTAAAAGGAATATGGAAGAGTGGAAAGACTATTGAACCTGGAACCGAAGGACTTAGCTTTAAATCACAGTTCTGCCACTAACTTGCTGGGTGTTTCTGGGCATATTACTTTATCAATATGAGCTTCAACATTCTTTGCAAAGGGAACATAATGATACTTGTACTGCCCATATCTTAGTTTTTTCTTTCAAAAATAAAAAATAGCTATCATTTATATAGGACTTTAAGTTTTGCAAAGTACTTTTCCTATGTTATCTCATCTGATCCTCACAATAACCCCGTAATGTGTTGTTCAGTCATTTTTCAGTGGTATCTGACACTTTGTGAACCCATTTGGGGTTTTCTTGGCAAAGATGTTGGAGTGGTTTGCCATTTCCTTCTCCAGCTCATTTTACTAATGAGGAAACTGAGGCAAACAGGGTTAACTGACTTGTCCAAGGTCATACTGCTAGTAAGTGTCTGAGGTCAGATTTGAACTCATGAAGATGAGTCTTCCAGACTCCAGGCCTGGCACTCTGTGCATTATTACTCCACATAGCTGCCTTATCTTGTAGGTGCTATTATCATTCTCATTTTATGGATGAAGAAACTGAGGCCAAGAGAGGCTAAATGTCTTAACCAGGGTCACAGAGCTACTAAGGGTCTAAAGCAGAATTTTAATGCAAGTCTTCCTAACTCCAAATTCAATATTCTATCTATTGCACCACATAGGTACTGGATTGAAAGTTACCTTCACTACCAGGATATGTCCATATTAAGGCATGGACCCTTTTTTTTTTTCTTCCTACAGAGAAGAAACCACTCAGAAAACTCTAAGGTAACATATAAAGGTGAACAAAGAGAGCAGGAAAGAGCAGATAAGACAGGCAAGAACATCTATTGTCTGACAGGTGGTAGCTGATGCAGGAGGCGGGGGAAGGGACACAGGTTAGTTCCTGGTACTTGCACCAGGAAGTACAGAGCCAGTATTTGCCCCAAACTGTGGAACACACAGTACCCACCCTGATTTCACAGAATCCTAATCAACAAAGGAAAAAAGGAATTTTGACATGTCACCTTGTCAGACTTGGGAATTCCTGGCTCAGGCTTCAGGTGGAGCCATCCAGCAACTGAGAATCCAGCCCAGGGGTGGGGAAGCTGTGGCCTTAAGGCTGCACTGGACCTTCTAGGTCCTTAAGTGCAGCCTTTTGAGTGAATCCAAATTTTAAAAAACAAATCCTTAAGGATCTGGATTCAGTCAAAAGGAGAACTTAAGGATTTAGAAGGCCAGGTTCCCCACTCCTGAGCTAGCCTGCGTTTTACAGACTTCTTATGTTAGCAAAGATTTCCTCATATTTTCCAAATCGGTTTCCAATCAGTCTCCCTAAACAGGTTTCAACCCAATCTCTTCAACGTTGGTTTTATTTCCAAGTCTAACCTAATTTCCTTCTCCAGCTTCATTACTTGTCAGTGGAAGGAAACCTCAACTCCACCTACCCTGGCATGGGTTCATTTGTTTGGAGAGCATTTATCCTTTCTTGTTAGTAAACCAAAATTCAACCAGAATATTAAGAATAGTATCAATAATAATGACTAGTCAATTACAGGTAAATGTACTAGAAGGTCTTTTCTAGATCATATCCATTATGACCATATTAGTATGTTTTTAAGTAAAATAAACTGGCCAAATGTAAATTTAATTATTGTAACTTCAAGTCATATTCAGTGAATATTTTTCCTCTTTCAGATTTATCCTTTGGGAATCTTATTGTTGATCTTAGAGATATTCTCTCATCTATCCTGTTAACTGATTCTTCTCTTTTTTTTTAAGTCAGTTAATTAATTAGCATTAATTAATCATGGGGACTGACAAAATCCACACATGAAATAGCACAGAGGGAAAAGAGAAGAGGGCTCAGGAGAGAGCCCTGTGGAACACTGACCATTGGTGGGCATGACCTGGGTGTAAATGCAGTAAAGGAGACTGAGAAGGAATGGTCAAACAGGTAGGTCAGAAAAACTTAGTATGTTTTGTTTCTCTCTAGTTCTTAGCCTTCTGTTTCCAGTGGAAGACCTTCAACCAAGTCTTTGACTTCAATGCTAGCTCTACCAGGTAAAATGAATGGATTCTCCGTTTTTTCTGGGTTAATTGCTTGTGGAACTTTTATATGTATTGCATCAACAGATGTCATGGAACACTGGATAGAATAGCTGCCCTTGGAATCAGGAGGTCTTAGGTTTAAACATACACACACACACACACACACACACACACACACACTATATGATTGTATAAAGCACCTCACTCAAGTCTCAGATTCCTCACATTTGTTCTAAGGATTCAATCAATTGACAAGTATTATTAGGTGTCTTCTACATGAAAGGAGGGGGCAGGTAGGTGGATTGAGTGCCAGGCCTGGAATCAGGAAGACTCATCTTCCTGAGTTCAAATCGGGCCTCAGACATTTACAAGCTGTGTGACCCTGGGCAAGTCACTTAAGCCTGTTTGCCTCAGTTTCTTTATCTATAAAATAAACTGGAGAAGGAAATGGCAAACCACTCCAACATCTTTGCCAAGAAAACTCCAAAAGGAGTCATGAAGAGTCAGACATGACTGGAAAACAACCAATGTGCCAGGAAGTGTACAGGGGAAGATAGAAGGCTAATCTTAGAGTCCAAAAGCCCTGGGTTCAAACTATGCCTCTGATATACTTGTACTCTCACTTGGATTATTGCAATAGCCTACTGATGGGTCTGCCTGCTCAAATCTCTTCCCACTCCAATCTCCATTCTTTTGCTAAAGTGATTTCCCTAAAGGGGCATCTCCCCAACTCAATAAACTCCAGTGGTTCCCTATAGCTATCTGAATCAAATACAAAACCTTCCATTTGGTGTTTAAAGCCCTTCATAACCTAGCCTCACTTCTACCTTTCCAGTCTTTCTATACTTTATCTCTGCCACATATTCCTCGGTCCAGTGACCCCACATTCTGGTGGTTCCACAAACAAGACGCTCCATCTCTTGGCTCCTGCCATTTTCAACGGCTGTTGCCCATGCCTGAAATAATCTTTAAAACAAGTGTCCTTTATTTAGACTCCATGAAGCCTCAATTAAAAAAAAATAGCATGCTGAAGCCAGATTTGAACTACAGGAAGATAAGCCTTCCTTGACTCCAGACCCAACATTCTATCTGCTATGCCACTTAATTGAGGCTTCATGGAGTCTAAATAAAGGACACTTGTTTTAAATCTTCTGAAGTGTACCATTGGAATGGTAACCATGCTTAGCAGAGTGCCTGGCACATAGTAGGCACTTAATAAATGCTTATTGAATTGAACTATGTATAAATCAAAATCTTCTATATAGATTAATTTTAGCTATACTATAGCTATAGTATACTATACTATATATTCTAGACTATACTCAGAACCATTTATACTAATTTCCCAATCTGAAAACATGGGCAGAAAAATACCAAATTACAAAATTTGTTCATATCATAAAGTTCTTTTGAAAAAAAATAGAAAGCACTATGCAAATACAAAGCAAATTTAAATAATTAGGATACCAATTAAATATGTTACTTTACAGTAATGGTTATCACTGTAGAATCTTGTATTTATGTAATGCCTTCTTTCCACAAAGCTCTAAGCACTTGACAAAAATAATCTCATTTATCTCCACAACGTTCCTGTAAAATATACGAAGAGCACATTTTACCAAGAAGAAAACCAAAGCTCAGAGTGAACAAGAGATTTATCTAAGAATATGATTGATTAAAGTAATGCAAGAGTCAGGGCTAATCTCAGAGCTCCTTGTTTCAAGGTCTTTTCTAAATCCCCAGGCTCCTCCACCCTGATTCTAAAACTGCTGTAAGCAGACAGGCAGCCTGCCTTACAAAATACACCAGATCTCACCCCCTCTCCCTCCCCACCGCGCTTCCCCCCTCCCTCCCCCGCTTTTTTTTTTTAGGGTGCAGAATTTCTATGGAACATTTTGCACTAGAAGATGCCTTGTTTTCACTTACTCTATGTAAACATTAAAAAAAAAAACAAGAAATACCAGATTTCTGAGCTAGCTACTGAACAACACAATGAACTTTTTACTGGTAAGATCACATTGTGTGGGCAAACAAAAAAGAGTTGGATAACTGAAATGGGAGGTGGTAGATGAGCGGCTTACTTCATTGGGGCCTGCTTGTTTTTTTCTGTTGCTTTTGCCCAACTCTTGGTCAAAATACTGAAATCTAACTTATACTAAAACCATTTTTCTTCAATATCAACTATCATATATACCTGGGCTAAAAAAAAAAAAGAAGAAAGGATGAATGGAAAGAAGGAAGGAAGGCAGAAGAAAAGAAGGAAGGGAGAGAAAAAAGAGGGAGGGACATAGTGAAGGAAAGAAAGAGAGAAGGGGAGAGAGAGAGAGAAGAGATAAATGGAGAAAAGGAGAAGAAAGGAAGAAGGAAAGAGAAGAAAGAGAAAGATCATTCATTAAGAACTACTATTACCAGGTACTATGCTAGACTAGGGCTGTAAATACAAAAGTCCCTGCTTTCAGGGGGCTGAGATTTTAAGAGGAGATAGCTCAGAGAAGGGGATAGTGGCCAGGAAATGGAGTTTTGGTCTGGGGAGCTACAGGGATGGTGAGTAAAGCCATAAAGTAGATTGTCAAGTCTTTTTTTCCCCCAGAAAAAAATGGTTAGATAGAGCACGGGGCCTACAGTCAGGAAGACCACAAATTCAGCCTCAGATACTTACTAGCTATGGGACCCTGGGCAAGTCACTGAAGTCACTATGCCTCAGTTTCCTCATCTGTAAAATGTGCTTGAGAAGGAAATGGCAAACTACTACAGTATTTTTGCCAAGAAAACCCCAGGTGGGGTCAAGAAGAATCAGACACGACTTAAAAATGACTGAACAACAACAATGAAACAACATTTATGACAGTTTAAACACACAAACACAAAAAGTACAAAAATCAAAATATTCTGGGGTATACACAAACCATCCAGTCTTTAACCTAATGTTATGTACACAATCTGAGCTAGCATGCTTGTCTTCTCTGATGGCAGCCATCAATCTGCCCCTCTTTTAGAGGGAAAAATTTTTAAATTTAATTTTAAATTTAATTTTAAAATTTAAGTTTATTAAGTAAAATTAAGTTTATTACAATTATTAGTCATAACATTAATGATTAATGATTGATATATTTTAAAAACCAATTTGAAAAAATGGTGGCTTATTTTATGAATTTTTAAGAATTTAAATAAAGCACCCAGAATTTTTAAACAACCAGTGTAGAATGTATTATAAATTCTAAGAAGCAAATACAGGACATCAAATGTAGTTAACTGCTCAGAACACAGAATATACTACTAATATCAATGCTTAAAGATTTTTGAAATTAGTAGTTTAATGAAAAAGGTTTTTTCACCAGTAATAAAGAAAATAAAATATTTTAGATTGTTTATTTCATATTTATCTTCTTTTTAATGTCTATTTTTTGTTCATGCTTCATAATGTAACTAGTATAGTAGTAGATTCATATGATATATAAGTAGATGTAAAAATAGAACTTGGTAAGACATTGAAGAGGCCAAAGTCATCTACTACATCCCAGGCCATCACCAGTCATCTTGACTTTTGTCCTGTCACTGTACTTTGAGGACTGGAGGAGATAGTGAGGCTGACGACTTTGCTCAGCTCTGCCTCACTTAATCCAATTCAAGCACAAGCCAAGACGGCACTCCATGATTTTATTAGTCCTCTTTGAAAACGAAGGATAAACAACAAATAAACAAAATTGCCAAAATAGCATACTATCAAAATGGTTTGGAGAACACCAGCTGAAGGCCTTGAGAGTTTAAATAATCTACCTATGGTCACACAGCTGGCACGGATCTGAGCCAAGCTGCCTCTCAACAGTTTCTTACATTGAGGCAAAATCCACCCCCTTGCAGGTTATCCTCACTACTTCTAGCACCCTGCCCCCCAAGCAACAGAGAAAAAGCGGTGCATTTCCAAATCAGATTTACTACTTCTGAGGTTTCAAAGCTAGGGATGGAGGTGCCTAGTCTTGGTGGCAGAGGAGAGAGGGCTGAACTTGGTGTTGGGAAGATAAAAATTCCAATGCTGCTTTTACACACTGTGTGACCCTGGGCAAATCACTTCGCCTTCTTAACCTCTGTCTGCCTCCCAGGGTTGTGAAAATTAAATGAGATAATATATGTAAAACTCTTTACCGACCTTAAAGCACTGTGTCAATCTGGATATCTAGTTATATAAATGCTAGCTGTTGAAATGTCATGTCTCCATGAGGGTCCCATCTCATGGCACTTGAAGCATGACATTGCTGAGACATTTTTGCTCTTACTGGTCCCATCCTGCCATTGGAGAGAAGGCTAGTGATACCTTTGGCCAAGTCATTTGTCTCTGCCTCCCAGAAGACTTTGGGGATCCTGGAGAACCCAACCCAGGAGTGTCCTGGGACAAGGATGCAGGGATGGAATGGAGGGCTTCAGAGATGACTGGAAAAGTCATGCCACGCGTCAGGCTTGAGAGACAGTCAGCTACCACCCTGTTCTCATCATATGGTCCCACCCTGGGCTCAGAGCCCCTTATGTAAATGCCCATGCTATCTGCGAGGGCACACTAAATGGGGGTTTAAATTCAGTCCAGCTGGGCTAGAGGGTTTGGGACTTGAGAAACTTGAGGGCTTCTGCAGATCTTAACTCTGAATCCCTCTAGGCCATGTCATTCATAATTATTTGTGTTTTATTCTGCACATTCTCCATATCTTGTTTTTAATTTAATTTTTGCGCCTATGATCCTGGGGTGTGGAGCCCAGGGAAGGGGCCAGCTTTTTTGGGTCTAAAAGTAGTACTGCCGCCAGGGATGAGGATTTTGGGAAAATGATGATCTCAATATAGGGTGCAGTTCCAGGTAGGGTAAAGGGAGCAGTGATGGGTATGTAGTCATTGTGGATGGCTAGATGGGACTCTCCCCTTGAAATTCCGACTTGTCCCAGAAACTCCAAGACTTTTTCAAGAGTGAAAGTCTGAAACGAAATGGAAGGAAAGGAGAAAGGTCAGTCAGGAGCCTCACTGGTAGATCTAGTCTTGTTCTTGGAAGGCCCTAAGAAGCCCTAAGAAGTTCAGGTCTGCTTAAGGGTAAACCCAAGGGGGGCCTTTCAGGATCAGTCTGGGGTTAGACTGGGACCAATAAGTCAGTTAATACATTTATTAAGTATTTACTATGTGCCAAGCACTGTACCCTGGGGTTACAAAGGAAAACAAAAGTCTTACTATATATGTAGTCCTGGAGTACTCCAGTTGGCAAAGTTACAGTCAATCATTCTGTGTTATTAGTTAGCCACAATTATTAATCAGCCACATTTATTAAGTGACCTCTATGTGTCAGGCACTGTACTGAGAGCTGGGGATTTGAAAAGAGGCAAAGGACAGTTCCTTCCCTCAATATAATGGAGGAGACAAGCAAACAAATATGTACAAACAAGCTATAAACAAGATAAATGGGAAATAATTAACAGAGGGAACGCTTCCAGTAAAAGAAGGGGCTTTAGTTGGGATTTAGAGGCTACTAAAGAAGTCAGTAGGTGGAGTGGGGGGAGGGAGAGCATTCCAGGCCTGGGGACAGTTGGAGAAAATGCCTGAGGCTGAGAGATGGAATTTCTTGTTCGTGAACTGCAAAGAGGCCAGTGCTGACTTCATCCTATTGGCTCTTGTTGGAGTACGTTTGTACAAAGTATTCTGTGCCTCATGTTTCTACATCCTCTTTCTTCCAGGTCTAGCTCAGTTATCACCTCTAGCAACTGGACGAGACTAGAGGATGTGGACCTTTGTTTGGAAGTTTCTGAAGCATGCCCACTCCTCCTCCACCCACCACAGGAGTGCAGGCATGCCCATGTGCTGTGAGGACACCAGATGATTGACTGAAGCTTAGGAATGCAGACTCCTTCCAGAGAAGCTGGTCTTCTAGCTAGACAGATCAGTTTCACATTCCTCTTCCAGACTCTGTTGGTACCTTCAAGAGACAGACCAGCATATAACACAACAGATCTGTTGTAAGGGGAGAAAAAAACTGTACCCATGTGCCCCTTCTCCCTTCCCCAGAGAAGAAGTAATGGCAACTTGGGGCAGAACTACAAAGCAATAGTAGACATTTGTTTACATGTAGCTTAAGGGAGACAGCTTAGTATAGTGGATAAAGTACTGGACCTGGAGTCAGGAATACTTGAGTTTGAATCTTGCCTCAAACATGTGACAATGGGTAGGTCATTTAACCCCTCTTAGTCTCAATGATCTCATCTGTAGAAAGGGGATAATAATAACACCTACCTCATAAGATTGTTGTGAGGATAGAATGAAATATTGTATACAAAGTGTCCTACACATTTTAAAATGCCACGTAAATGCTAGCTTTTATTCAAAGTGATCCTGTGGGCTGACTTTCCCAGCTCACAAGATAGTAGAATCCAGGGAACTTACGAATAGTGTCAGACATGTTTGTTCACTTTGTCTGAAAGGATAGTTCATGGACAATGTGAACCCCAAACTTCTATGTGGAGGAGAATTTTGAGTTTTGAATTCCTTAGGCAGTGTGATCCTGGAATCTGGTCTAGCCAAGGAAGAAAGATCCTCTGGGCAGCAATAGCCTTGATTGGAGAGTTCCCAAAGTTGAGATGGCAGGCAGTGGCCTTCTAAAGATATAATATTTCCTTAACAGTATATTTCTTACGGAAAGAAGATTGTCAACGTGGAGCTGAAGGGATAAAGTCACGTCATTGAGGAGCAAGAGATTAGGTTTAAGTACTTGGATAGTGGAGGTCTGATGAAAAGGGGATTCAGCAGCCCTCAAATTATGTGTACCTTAAAGCAGAGGGTGGTACCACAAGTCTTAGGGGGACTGTGTAGGACTGGGTGGAAAAGAACGATTCATCAGAATATCAAACGGTTGTCCTGATAGTAACCTCAAGTTCAGTTCCTTTCTGGGAGCAGGTTGAATAACTGATGAGATATCTGAGTGCTTCATCTTCATCTATTTCTACCTCTGTTCATGGATATCTGGAGGTCCTTCATTTCTTCTGAATTTTCTATGGGGTGAAAGAATGGCCGGTTCATACCCTATTTGCATTTGGTACCTTAAGGGCTTGTACAGGAACTGGGAGCCCAGTTACCCACTTTCCTGAAACCCTCCCTTATAACAAAGAAAAACAGTGAGACACAAAGAACTGAAATAGCAACCATGTCTCTCTGTCAGTGTATGTGATATTTGGAATAAATAATGAACCACTTCCCACACTGTCTGGAGGAAGGATGCAAGATTCATCATCCGTTTCCTATAACCAATATTCCTAACCAATAACCAATAACCATAACTATATTTTGTCTGAGTCCAGCAGCCTCTTATTGTGGATTTTCTTTACATTATTACAGTAATTGTGTACATTTATTCTCTGGTTCTTTTTTCTTTACTCTGTACCATTTCTTCTAGTTCTTCCCATGTTCCTTTTGTAATCTGAGTGGGGTCAATCCACTCTTTAATTGCTACTGGCTCATTTTTCTTATGAGTTCTTATCTGTGCTTCTAAAGCGATGTTATATAGTTTCATCCTCACAACAACCCTTTGGGGTAGTTGCTTTTATTATCCTCATTTTACAGATGAGGAAGCTGAGGCCTAGAGAGATTGAATGACCTCTCCAGAGTCACACAGCTAATGAGTGTTTGTGGTAGGATTCAAACTTAGATCTTCCTAACTCCAAGACCAGTGTTCTATGTACTGTCACCTAGTTGTTTCAGTAAACAATACAAATAAATATTTTTTTACATTTTATTTTTATTTTTTATATTATGAATATTAAAATATTTAAAAATTAAAAATTTTCCAATTATATATAAAGAATTTTTAACATTCTTTTAAAAAAAATTTTAGTTCCATATTTTCTTCTTCCCTCTCTCACCTTCCCCCTCCCTGAAATGGTAAGTAATTTGATGTAGGTTATACAAGTGCAATCATGTAAAATACATTTCCATATTAGTCATCTTGTGAAAGAAGATACAGACCCAAAGGGAAAAAACCCCATGAAAAAAGTAAAGAAAGTGTATGCTTCAATATGCATCCAGACTCCATCAGTTCTTTCTCTGGAGGTGGCTAGCATTTTGCATCATGAGACATTCAGAATTGTCTTGGATCATTGTATTGCTGAGAACAGCTAAGTCATTCATAGTTGATCATCATATAATACTGCTATTATTGTGTACATTATTCTCCTGGTTCTGCTTACTTCACTTTGCATCAGTTCATATAAATCTTTCCAGGTTTTTCTGAAATTAGTCTGCTTATTATTTTTTATAGCATAGTAATATTCCATCACTATCATATGCCACAACTTGTTCAGTGATTCCTCAGTTGATGGGCATCCCCTCAATTTCCAATTCTAATATCAAGAATTTTTAAGCAATTTAAATATCTCAACAATCTTTCCAAGTAAGAGATATTATAGACCATAATCTAACAATTCAGCTTCCTTAAGATTCTATTTAAAATCTCAACTCAAGAATTCTCTTCACAATATTTCTTTGCAGGATGAGAATTAAACTCAGTTCTTTCAGGAAATGTCTCTTCAGGTTCTCTCTCCTTCACAATTAAATTGCTCAATCTCTCAAGAAAAAAGTTCTCTTCTTCCTTTTCCTCAGTTTCTCTTTAGTCATGAGAGTTAAATTGCCAGTCTCTTCATAGACTCCTCTTGGATGAATGTTAAATCACATCTTCCCATGATTCTATTCCCTCTTAAAGATTCAGTACAGTATCCAATCTCCTCTGTAGAAAAGACTATTGAAACTAGTCTTAGATTTTTGATTGCTCGTATTTGATATTTCTTTCATTGTAATAGATAGAGTATTGCATTCATTTACTATAATTTGTTTAGTTATTCCCCAACCAATAGGCATTCACTTATTTCTAGTTTTTTTGCTACTACAAAAAGTGCTACTGTGAATTCTTTGGTATATACACATATGCATGTATGTATATATTCATATACATATATGTATATGTACATACATATGTATGTATATACACACACATATATTTCCAGTGGTGTGCTGGTAAATGTTTAACAACCAGTTCTCCAGGGGGAATAATGTATGCATGACCCACTTTTAAGTTTAATCTGTATTATTGATATTTTCTCCATCACTTTCTTAAGTCTAGATAACAAGCAAAACAATAAATCCAGCCCTGATTTACAGGGTTTATACATTTCTGAGGTGCAGATTATCACACTGAAAAGTCAAAACTGACTCACAGCTGGTATGATCTGGCTTCCACAGACCCCTGTTACATCCCTGTCTGAGGTAGGGTTCCACAGCTGGGTACAAAGGATACAGTACCCATTTAATAAAAACATTCTTAAATATTCCCAGGTGAAACAGCCTTCAAGGCAGTTAAGAAGCAATTCATTGTGCTATAAGAAATGATGAACAGGTGGACTTCAGAAAAACCTGGAAGGACTTAATACGAAGTGATGCTGAGTGAAGTGAGCAGAACCAGGAGAACATTGTGTGATGACTGACTTTGATAGACTTAGCTCTTCTCAGCAATGCAAGGATCTAAGACAACTCCAAAAGACTCATGATGGAAAATGCTATCCACATCCAGAGAAAGAACTATGGAGTCTGAATGTAGATCGAAGCATGCCATTTGCTCTCTCTCTCTCTTTTTTTTTTTGTTTCTTCTTTCTCGTGGTTCCTCCCATTCGTTCTAATTCTTCTTTGCAACACGACTAATGTGAAAATATGTTTAAAATGAATGTATATGTAGAGCCTATGTCAGATTGCACTGTCTTTGGGAGGGAGAAGGGAAGGGAGGTGGAGAAAATGTAAAACTCAAAAGCTTATTGAAGTGAATGTTGAAAACTAAAAATAACTAAATTAATTTTAAAAAAAGCAAATCACAAGAAGGTAAAAGCAATTAGAAGCTGGTGGCAAGGAGGTTAAAAGCAATGAGCAAGGAAGTTCTCTGGGTTTAAGAATTCCCTGTCAGCATATAAAGCTGATTTTATACTCTTTGCCCAAAGAGTCCCCATCTGGAGCCCAGATCAATTCAACTGGGGGCAAAATAAACCATCTAAGATCTGCCCCATAGTTTCTTTATTTAGAACACTCCTGACTATTGTTGTTGTTGTTGTTTGGGGAGGGAAGGGGCAAAGTAGAGGGGGCATGGTTAACTCAAGCCTCCCTAGTTCCACTAGAATCCTGAACTAGAAACATTCCTGTTAACTGTTACAGCAAGGGCACTACCACCATCTTTCCGGTCAACCAGGTTTGCAACCTTGGGATCACCCTCACCTTCAAATTCTCACTCACTCACATTTCCAATCATTTGCCAAGTCTTCTTTCTATTTTCACAACATCTGATAGAAGCAATATCTGCCACATAAGCTAGGCTAGTTTTTCCTTAAAAGATTTTGAAACCATCCTTGATACTTAATAGGCTCAAAGGGCTAGGGGTCAGTGTATTGGTTTAGTGTCCTGGGGGCCTGAATAGGAAATCTTCGAGCTTATAAGGAGGCAAGAACAATTCTCTCTCAGGCTGGATCAGAAGGTGAATGTGGCCAATACAGAGGCAGTGAAGCTACACTCACCTGAATCAATGCTATATCCTTTCCATGCTATTGCTAAAAAACAAAGAACACCCAGAAATATTAAAGAAAAAAAATCTACCTCTTCTTTTATTAACTGTTAGATCATCTAAAAGTGTCTCATTTTATTCCAATTTTGAGCATGAAGTTCTAGACCAGCTTGAATCTAGCCTGATTTACATCTCTCACCCACTTCACTCACACAGTCAGTACCCTGGTTCAAACCCTTATCATCTCTCACCTGGAATGCTACCATAGCTCCCTGTTTGATCTCCCTGACTCAGGCTTCACCCTACCTCAATCCGTCCTTCACACAGCCACCAGTGATTTTCCTAAAATGCAGTTTTGATCCCGTCACCTTCTGCTTAAATACCAAGTGGTTCCCCATGCGCCTAGGAACAATACATAAAACCTCTGTTTGAAATTTAGATCTTTTCACAACTCAGCCCATTCTGACCTTTCCAGTCTTCCCATATTTTACTTCCTTCCTCACACTCTGTGATCCAACCTAACTGGCCCTTCACAAGCTGGTCTCAATTTTTCAGCCTTCTCACATATTACTTCCTATCCAATACGCTACACACAGCCCAGACAAATTGGCCTTCTGTTTCTCTCTCTCTCTCTTTCTCTCTCTCTCTCTCTCCACTCTCCTCTTTCTTTCTGTCTCTGTCTCTCTAACTTTCTCTCTCTTTCTCCTCTCTCTGTCTCTTTCTTTTCCTTTTCTTTCTTCTCTCTCTCTCTGTCTCTCTCTCATATACACATACACGCACGCATACACACACTCACGCACATACAGAACTCCATTTCCTATCACTCTTTTTGCCCTGACTGCCACTCATGCCTGGAATGGGCTCTTCCTCACCTCCATCTCTTGAACATTTCATGGTACATTTTTTTTTCCAAGGTACATTTCAAGGCTCAGTTCAGGCTCCACCTTTTAAATGAAGCCTTTCTGGTGTCCCACGCTCTCCCTTCCCCCTAGGTTCTAGTGTATACCCTTCCAAAACTACCTTGTATAAATTTTGTATTTATTCTGTATATATTTACATATGGATACATTATCTCCCCCATTAGAATGTGAGCTCGTTAGAGACAGGGACTGTTTGGTTTTTGTTTTGTATGTCTAGAACTTAGCATGGTGCCTACACATAAGTCCTTAATAAATGCTGGCTTGATTGAAATGGGGTTATTCTTTTGTCTTTGGATGTTTTGGGACATATGTTCAGAAGTAGGGTTACTGGATTAAAGGGTATGGACAGTATAGGGACTTTACCTACGTAATTCCAACTGTTTTACAAAAGTGTTGGATCAGTGTTGAGACCAAATGGAGAACTGAAACAGAGAAGTTCCAATTCTTATTAATGTAAAATATTTAATAATGCATGATATTACTTAATTTAATATAATTTACATCAAATACTGAGGTTAAAGGAGATTAACATTAACAATAATAATGACATTAATCAGGGGATTATTCTTAGTAATGTTGCCATTCCAGAAGTTAAAAATCAGTGGCTTTTAAGTGTTAAGACATAGAGAGAATACCTTCAATAAGTATAAAACAAACTTCTACTGGTTAATAAGGAAAATAGTTCCCATTCATCGTCCTTATTTGAAATCAGGATCCTATATAGTGCCAGTGGAAAGAAGGAGAAATTCTAGTTCCTGGTTAAAAATAAATGTGGAAGTACAATGTACGACCATTTTATGTAATAATCAGTATAATTAGTACTGGTAGCAGGGTGACATTTGTACATGAGTACTTGTGTGTGATGCTGCAAAGAAAACATAAAGTATTTTCAAAGCTTTCAAGGACACAGTGCTACCTGTGTAGACAAAGAGAGTATTGTGTCTACTATAGTAAAACGGGATACAAATTCACAAAATTAAGAGCCTATCTATGAAGACTAGTGAGTACTTTTTATCCATGGAAATAGAACTTCATAAAAAAAACTGGCACAGACTTAAGTTAGGCCTTTTTATATGAAAACAATATTTTTTTAACTTGAAAACTTTAGGAAACCATG